TAATGTTATTTTTGTATAGGTTTTTGTCAGTTTGCATTATCATTCTGACATTTTGTCATTCACAAGACTCTTATCAGTGTTGCTTTTATATTGATAGGTGACAAGTTGAGCCAGGAGACAAAGGCCCCTGGGCCTGTTATAACCTTGCACAGGAGTTTTGCTACATAATTATTTTAAATATTACGGAGGGATCCCGTCAGATGCACCGGATGGGTTCAATTTCATGCTTCAGGCAGCGGTTGCCTGAAGTAATTTCCCATGTGGCCGCACTCCAGGAGCACTGCTGCAGCCCAAGAGCAAGCCCCAGTCTCCCAGCCACACGTTCCGTTCCCGGCTGCCAGAGCGGGGCAACAGCGCAGCCTGATTGCTTCTTAGTCACGCGGTATGTGCTGGCATTTTAATTTAGCGCCCATCAGTGCTGATTTTTCTCACTATCAGATTGAGCTCAAGCGCCAGGAATCAACTGCTGACTACAAAAGGTAAAGCTGTTGAGCCAAGTTGTTTTTGAATTATTTCTCCACATTATTGATAGTATAGCGAGGACAGAAAACAGTTGGTAGAAGAGAGGAAGATGAGATCAGGAATTGACACAGGCCAGAATCAAACTCCTATGAACACAGCTCGGTGTTTTCGAGAACATGTGCAGGTCAAATAATGTGACTTTGTTACACTACCAGTCGAAAGTTTTTGGACAGTTTTGGAGTTTTTTTTTTTTTTTTAAAGAAGTCTTTCTATTTGAATATATTTCCAAATGTAATTAATTCCTGTGATTTCAAAGCTGAATTTTTAGCATCATTGCTCCAGTCACATGATCTTTCAGAAATCATTCTAATATTCTGATTTGCTGCTATAATAATGTTCATTATTTTTATGTTGAAAGCAGCTGAGTAGAATTTTTCAGGTTTCTTTGATGAATAGAAAGTTCAGAAGAACAGCTTTTATCTGAAATAGAAATCTTTTGTATTATAAATTACTTTATCATCACTTTTGATCAATTTAAAGCATCCTTGCTAAATACAAGTATTAATTTCTATAATTTAACCCCCCCCCCAAAAAAAAATTATACTGACTCCAAGCTTTTGAATAGTATAGTGTATAATGTTACAAAAGCTTTTTATTTCAGATAAATGCCAGCAGTTATTTTAAATAGTAAAAGTATTTCATAATATTACTGTTTTTGCTGTCCTTTAATCTAGCCACAAGAGGTCACAAGCCAGTGTACCTTTTGTACCGGTCCCAAGCCCGGATAAATAGAGAGGGTTGTGTCAGGAAGGGCATCCGACGTAAAACTTTTGCCAAATTCATTATGCGAATCACGAACATGCCTGAAGGGAACAGCCGAAAGGAAAAGAAGAAGAAGAAGAAGACTGTTTTTGCTGTCCTTTGGATCAAATAAATGCAAGCTTGGTGAGCAAAAGGGACTTCTTTAAAAAACATAAAAAATCTTAATGTCCAAAAACTTTTGACTGGTAGTGTATATATGTGTATGTAAATATTTATTTTATTGTATTTATTTTTATTCGTGCATATGCATTTTTTTTTTTTTTTTTTTTTTTGGGAGCTTTTTTTTTTTTTGGGAAGCTGTATTCAAAATTCATTTGGCTTATAAATGTGACAGGGCATGTGCAAATTTGTATGGGCTTCTTGTATAGAGGAATAAACCAATTCAGCAACCAATTTATAAATCCGGTTTGTCTAAAACAAAGGCACAGTTACATATTAGAATAGCTCTTCGAACTCTCTTATATCTTATAATTAACTAATCAGCATTGCTTTTGTTTATGTTTTCCCAGACTGTCAGACTAATTAGTGTTGAACTAAACCTATCAAAGACTGAGGCGTCTCGTGAGAGCAGGTCATGTCAAAGTGACATTAACTGGCTGTGAAGCACTCTGGGATTTTAAAGTGGGCTGCTCACACTGTCCAAAGGACTGGTTGGATTGAGTCAAGAGGCTTTATTCCCTGCAGGCACATTGAATTGGTAGAAGACGTGGAAACATGGACATCAGGGCTCTGTACTTACTTGCATGGTCAGTTTGACAGGCATGAGTGCGTTTGTGGGTGTGCATTGAGTTAAAATGTCCTTTGTATGCATGCATCTTCTTGTAGTGGAAGATCCTAAATAATTAAACATGTCACCTTTACAAGTTTACGAAAGCCAACAGAGGTCAGAAGGAACAGGAAGCTGTCGACTTTGCTTGTAATCTCAAGAGAATAAACATCTGCAGTGTTTGCCTCAACACCGATCACTCCTGGATTGATCAACATGATGGATGGATGGATAGCTTGCTTAATTGTGCCCCACTGGACACGATCTGCAGAAAAAGATCGGCTTTAGACATCTGTCTTACTAAAAATGCTCTCTGAACATCCTTTGTGTGATTCCATCAATTTCATTTTTACTCGTAATTAGTGATCCTTGATCTCACCAGCTCCCTATTGATCCTTCATCAGTCCCTTCAGCCTAGGGCCAGATCACCATTTCAAGTCTCTTTAGGTCTTAATGACCGCCTTGCACAGGGTTTCCATTGAATCAGCACTATGGTGTGGTGTCAGTTTGATGCATGTGGCTGGATTTCTTTAAAATCTTTCTAAGAAAAAGGTCAGTGTATAGTGCGATAGGCTTGCCGCGATAGACGGTGCTGACGGTGATACCGGTGTTAAGCCGCAACACCGGTTATGTCACTTGCCCACCGCGGCACCAACCCCCACTGTCTTTTTGTTTTTTTATAGTAATAAAAATCATTTAGTTCAGTAAAAGAACAGACACTACAATTAAAAACTGAATGTGGCTGCTCAATGCAGCGTGCCGAACGACCGATACTCATTGATGGGTCTGGAATCATGACGTTGCTGTTTAAGAATGACGTAAACTCATTATTGGATGAATAATCTGACTCTTTAAATCACAAACTACACATTGTATGAAAGAGAGAGTTGTTGCGTTGGATTATTTTTCTCTGAAATAACCGCAAGGTTTTATAAACTGCATCATATTTATATGTATTGGCACAAAATCATATTGTGAGCTATTGTAAAATTATGCTTACAGTGTTATATGAATGGATATGAGCATAATACCAATATTTACTCATTCTTACATCATACAGACCGCCCTTAAAGTATCACGTTAAAGTGCAATTTTAATTATTTATGCTAATTAACTAATATCAATCCTCAATGGCATGTATTAGAAAAGCAATGTTTAAAAAAGGTATTTGATCCAGTTTTCTTGAATAAAATGGTAATTATTTTAGGTTCTTTCTTTCTTTCTTACTTATTATTAATTTAATAAGTAATATGAATGTTACACATTAATAATGGATAATGAAAAAAACATGAACAACATGATAACTGTAATATTCTCTCTAGTGGCTACATTTATTGTATTCATATGCATAAATTAAATCCATTCCATTGTTGTACATTGTTTCTTCCTGGCACATTTATGTTACAATATTTTACATAACACAAATAATTTGTATGGCTTAAAATGAGACAAATGTGGACCCTAATTTGCTGGGAGAAAATGCTTTAAGACAGTTCTCCATAGCCAACAAGCATGTCCTTCTTGTGTAGCATGAAGACTTTTTCATTGAAGAAAAAAAAGGTATAAAACGTCACATTGTTTTTGAAAGACTGAAAAATTGAAGACAAGAATAATGTGCTCATCCTTCCACTCGCTCCCTCGTCTCTCTGTTTCTTATTCTTATTAAACTTATTCTTCATCCTTGTTTGTAAAAAAAAAAAAAAGCAGTATTGCGTTGCCGGTGAATTAAAGCGATTCAGAGCCTTTCATAAGCCGCAACCACCTTCATTTATAGTGTATGTCAGTATCAGTGTTGCAGAAGATCCTTCAATCTTGGCTCACCTGAGCAACCAGGCAGACAAATGTTCCATAACACATGCAGCAAATTAGCACTCTTAAAGAGGCAGCAGCTTTTATTAGTTCAGCCTTTGTTGTGTGTTGAGCCACCCACTGAATGTTTCAAAACAACAGGAAGGAAGCTTAGATTTACCTTTATAAAGAAAACAACACTTGTGGCTGTATAATATCGAGTAATTGCGTCCACACTCATGTGAGTCATAAAACTTTATTTTCATGTTATAATTAAGCTGAAGTGTGACAGTTTTTTTGATGTGAAAATGCTTTCTTCATTTTAAGGTGCAGTGTCCTTGAAGAGTATAAGAGCAAGAGTATTGCTGTGGTTCAGTAATAAAATAAATATTGATTTATTGCTAATTAATTCTTTGGTAAAGCAGAGATTTTCTCCACTGTTTACATCCTTGCATCTGCACTCTTTAAATCCGAATTTAAGTCTCAAATGTGGAATCCTTTCTACATGCCCTCTGGCACAGGACAACAGGGTTCATTTTGTGTGAAAAGATAGTAGATGGGAATCATTCACGTCTGGCTCGTTTCATAAAATGCTTTGATGCAGACTGGCCATCGGAGAGCGACCCACAGCGCTTGATCTGAGCATACAGCCAGAAGTGAGACTGCCTACAAACCTATATAGTGGGGAACCGTCCAGTGCTTATAAACCCAAGATGAGTGCCAAATATTTGAAGTGATGCCATTTGACTTTCAAAACTGGTCTGCCACATTAATGATTCATGGGAGTGTAGTATGAATCGCAGACGTGATTGCAACAGAGGAAGGATTTACTTGTTTTTCATGCATGTAGCTTGAAGTGCTGCTACATCTCAATCAAAAACCTTCGAAAACAGCTTCTTCAGTTTGCAAGTCAAAAACAAGGACAACACAAATTTAACAAGCAGACATTTATTATAAAAAGTTGATTAGTGATTCAAATATGTTTTTGTGCTAAAAATAATTTAAGAATTCAGAAAGAAAAATATTATTTTGGAAGACCGCAGAGATTTGTATTCAGTTCAGCTTTTTTTGCATGTAAGAATGGTGTTTTTGTCCTCTTGAAGCAATATTTATTCATGAATTATTGAATACATCCATAGGGCACTGTGCTATTTCTTTTGCTAATGTTCCTCCAATCTTGTTTTTTTTTCCCCTGACATTATGATTTCTAATTTCTTTTAGATGTGTCGTTTAAATGTCAGCTTGTTCAGAAACGTCCCCCCAGTGCAATAATCCACTGTATTTCCCCTCTCATTGTTAAGATTATACCTCCAGTGGGCCAAATCTGTAGAGACCCACTTGAGAGCCAGAGAATGTGTAATTAAAGCAAGACCGAGACTATCGATTTACAGCTTATAGGATTCCTGTCATGTGTTTGCCCTAGACATCAATTTAGGGGCGTGCTTGTGTGTGCACACAGACAAGGGTAGCCGATCACAACGTGCTGTTTTGTTAGATCGCTGGCTAGTGTGTGTTAGTAGCTTAAGCCCTCCCAGTCTCAAATCTATTCAGTCCCAGCCAGGCACATCCCATGGTTTAGTACCCCGTTTTTCAATATGGTGCATGTTTGGGGAGAAGTGTCTTTAAATGTCTCACCACAGACTAATGAAGCTGTAAATGTGGTTTTGCCTGTGCATGTGTTTTAGACTGTCATTTGTGCCGGATCAGCACGTCTGCTTACAGCAAAGGCGTTATTAGTGGCATTTGACGCACTTCATTGTCTGGACGCACCCCTGCCCACCCGCTTTTTCATCAGCATCTTTCTTTGTTTTTCTGTCGCATCTTTTGGTACAATGGTACAGTGATGGTATCAAATGGTAATACCATAGTTCTGTTTTTTTACTCACTTGCATTTTATTTTATTGCAATTGTATTCTTTATTTATAATTTACATTACGTTTTATTCTAAGGTCATTCTGAGTTGGTAGAATAGACATACTTAAGTGTGCTATACAGTAAATTTCACCTTCTCACAAACTTGCTCTGAATGGTGGTCAACCTCATTTTACATAAATTACCTAATTTCTGAAAATAATCATTCTTGGCATAAAATACAATTGTAATATATTTGTATTTTTTTATTATACATTTTTGATACTTATTGTTTTCCATTTTTTCATATACAATACTGTTAAAAAGTTTGGGATGATTACATTAAAATTTTTGGTATTTTCAAGTTTTTGTTTACCAAGTTTATTTGATCAAAAATGCAATAAGCACAGTAATGTTGTGAAGTAGAGAGAAAGAATCTGAATCTGTGTAGGCTTTTTTCAAAGAATGGTATGTATCCAAAATCATGGTAATACCATGATACGTTTTTCTTTGAGTGATAAGTCTTTCTTATTTATGTCAATGTTAAAGTACCCATCCTTTTATTACCTCCTCTTAGTGAGATTGTGTGGCGTAATATTGTTTCTGATTGTATTACACATTTTGATGGCAATACAGTATATAACCTTCCCGCCAGCTGATTTTCCTGCTGTCATGAGTCTGTGGTGCTTGCTCTCTCTTTCTTGTGTTGTCTTCATTTTCATCCCTTCATTCTGCCATATTTCTTCATCTTGCCCCAGCGCTCTGTTGATCTCTGTCCATTTCTATCCATCTCACTCTGATTTGTATCAGATTTATTCTCTTATGGGTTGAGTGGTGAAGTGAAGTGGAGACACAGGAGAGTTTTATTGATATAAATGGCAGCTCTCTCCTCATGCCTTACAGAGCAGCCGTCTCCTATGGAATATGAAACACTCACACAGTGGATTCGCCTTTCACTTTAATCTTCTTCCCCTGCCTGAATGAATGTAACTGTTGCAATTTTCTACCTCTCATCAATTTATTACTTTTATATCATTCTAGGTATAATTAATGGCATAATTTTAATCAACTGCCCACCTCACTTTGGGTCAAAAAAGTAATTGAAGGATAAACTGTTTGAATAATTAAAATCACGCACTAACAATTCAAAGCTGTAAAAGCAGTTTAAATACAATTTACACTTCTGTCCAAGAAGGATCACTGCTCATGACATCAAGTCTTTTCCCCCACCCAAATAGTATTGATTTTGGTGATTGATTTGGTGTTATTAGCTTAATTGGTGCAAAGCACCATGGAGACATATTACTAAAGCTTAGCTGTGGTCCACACCGGTTTTCAGCATGTTTTAATTATTTTCTCTCATTCTGCTGTACTGCTTAGGGGAAAAAATCCTGTTTATAGATTTTTTGTCAACTCTGTTTCAACCCACCACATTTATTTCTCTGTGTCCATAAGCACGACTTCTGGTAATGTAGTATGTTTTATGAATTTTGATTGCCCAGTAATTTGAATGGAGCTCAAGATGTGCTGAAACCCTTTTCCATGTTTGTTTTCATATTATTTGTTTTTCATTTGTTTTCAAGCTATTTTAACATTGAGTTTATAAGTTTGATTGTTCAGTTGTGTGCAAATGATATTTCATTATTTAGATTAAAACTTGCTGCATTATGAGTCATTAAAACGGTCACATTTTTCCTCGGTTGCAACAGTTTTTTTTTTGTGTGTGTGAAAATGAAGTATACTTAATTGTATTGAATGTGCACTTGTACTTTAAATCTTAGGTCGGTTTAAAAAAAATAACTGTACTTGAGGATATAATATTAATGAAATCAAAGACCTCCTAAGTGTACTTAAAGATAGTACAATTTTATACATAAGTACACTTTTAAAACCTTAAAAAATGCACTTTGTAATGTCAAATTAAATGTTTTATTTTAAAGTACATTTTAAATCATTATGTATTTATATTTCTTTATGCTTTAAAGATGTACATACTATGATGTGTTGACTAACATACTAAAGCATACAGTATGTGAAGTTGATTATAATTTTAACTGTAAATTGTTCAATATAAAAAATTGTATATATTAATACTAAAATGCAACTTCTTCATTAAAAATGCATTAAATACATGACATATAAGTTTCAATAGAAATTACATTAAAGTATATTTTAGTTTACAGTTAATGCTTATCGCAACATCCCACAGTAAACTTAAACCATAGTGTATTGCAGACAATAACTGACAGTTAAGAGAATAAAGATGTGCTTAAGTCCTACTTAAGTAAGTCAAAAGTTCAGCTAATTGCATTAAATATAAATGTATTAAACTATAATACATTTTCGGTTACACTTTATTTTAAGGTGTCCTTTTTACAGTGCAAATATACATTTAAGTATTGAGTAATATTAATTAACCCTCAATCGTCCCTCATTTCCTGTTTACACTTAAGTCCCTTGGGGATGTGTGCATGTGCATGCATTAGGTCTCACTCAAACGTGTTCTGCATTTTTGGCTGATTTCATTTGCCAAATTTGATACAAATGCTATCTGTGGCAATCATACCTGTGTGTGTGTGTGTGTGTGTGTGTGTATGTGTGTGTGTGTGTGTGTGTGTGAAAGAGAGAGAGAGAGAGAGAGTGCATGTGTCTGTCTGTCTGTGTGTGTGTGTGTGTGTGTGTGTGTATGTGTGTGTGTGTGTGTGTGTGTGAAAGAGAGAGAGAGAGAGAGAGTGCATGTGTCTGTCTGTCTGTGTGTGTGTGTGTGTGTGTGTGTGTATGTGTGTGTGTGTGTGTGTGTGTGAAAGAGAGAGAGAGAGAGAGAGTGCATGTGTCTGTCTGTCTGTGTGTGTGTGTGTGTGTGTGTGTGTATGTGTGTGTGTGTGTGTGTGTGTGAAAGAGAGAGAGAGAGAGAGAGTGCATGTGTCTGTCTGTGTGTGTGCGTGTGTGTGTGTGCCCGTGTGCGTGCATTAGGTCTCACCCCTTTATACCTTTGTTCTGCATTTTTGGCTGATTTTATTTAGCCAAATTCTATACAAATGCTCTCTGTGGCAGTCATACCTGCGTGTGTTTGTTTGTTTGTGAGTGTGAGTGAGCATGTCTTTTATACATTGCATTTGTGCTCTAGTACCAGGCCTTCATTTCTGTGTGGAAATTTTCAGATTTATGCCGGATTTATTTTTTATTTTTTTGACAAATGAAAACAAAATATATACATTTTTTCACATTTCCCATTCATTTCAATGTCGGGTCATATTGACCCCAAGGGACAGATTTGTAAAAAAAAATTTTACATACCTTCAGAACAACCGAATCAAGCCCAGTTTTTTTTATGTGAATATAGATATAAAATGTTGAAAAGTCACAAAATCTTATTCCACTGAGATGAAGGGAACCATTTTTTAAACTAAGTAAAAGTTGATTGGGGTCATATTGACCCCAAGGGCCGATTGAGGGTTAACTACATGTACTTACTATAGGGTTAGGGTTGGGATGAGGGTTTGATTTAGGGTTAGTTGGTTGAATGCAATTATGCATAATTAATTGTTATTTTGATAGTAAGTAGATGTAACGTGTAACAAGGACACCGTAAAATAAAGTGTTACCACATTTTCTTTTAATTGCAATTTACGTACAGGTAAGTGTCCATAAACACTCAGTCAGTTTGCACTTCGGTATTTTCTTTTAAAATAGATTTCCTTAAGTACTTTATAAAAGTACGCAAAGGTATACTTCTTTTTCCCAAGGGTTGCAGTGCATGCTGGATTATCTTCTCATGTCTTTCTCATCGAAAATGATGTACAGATTGTATAGTATGTAAGAGAAATGTAGCACCTCCCCTTAGCTCCGCTCAGTCCCTCTTTAAATGTTAAAGAGTCGCCAGACAAATTGATTAGCATTGCAATTTCCTGTCAGGTTAGGACATCAGAATTAATCAGGCTCCCTCATACAAAGCTAAATATGACTGGGAGATTTCACCATAATAAACTCTTAAATTTCTCCCCCTCTCCCTCAGTGAAGGGACATTAGCGAGGCAGTTAATCAAAATCACATTAGCATATAGTACAGGCACCCTTAGATTATAGTAGCCCAGCCCCGCAGGAGCAGGGTGGACAGAATGCTGAAGAGATCCCAGCGTTCCTGCTAATGGGATCAGGACGTTTGGGTTTTAGATGGATTCAGGTCAAAACTAAGCTGGTCATTATACCCACATAGGCACATACATCTGCATCAGGTTGTTAAAGTGCATTTTTGTAGCATAAATCACAATTATGTTTCCTTGTTCAGTGGCAAATGTGTCAATAAAATGGAGACAAAGTGGATCAATGGAGTGAGACTGTTAAGACCATCCTGATTCCCCACAGATCGGTTTTTCAGGCTTTGTGTGTGGCACTGTCGATTGACAGGTTTCACTGACCTCTGTTTACCTCTGAGAGTGCTGGGGACAACTAGGACTGTCAATATTAGCCTGTTAGCACATGCGATTTCTTTACATTTGTTTAACACTAGTTAAAGTGATAGTTCACCCAAAAATAAAGAATTCTGTCATCATTTCATTCCAAACACATAAAACGTCATCTTTGAAATGCGAATTAAGAAATTTTTAATAAAACGTAAAACAACTCCATCTGAATTGAGCGGTTTCATTTGTCTTGTGAAGAGATGCGATCACTTTATATGATGAACAGATTTAAATTAGGCTTATACTCGCAAATAAACAGACATGTAACTCATTAGACATAAAAAATACTGAAATATGCGCATCGCGCTCACATTTTTAATGTTCCATTTTTTTACCACATGTGATGTACTCTATGTATGTAGAGTTTTTGTGACAATCATTTTGTAGGTAAATAATTAAATCTGTTCATCATATTAAGCGATTATATCTCTTCACATGACTTGGATTGAACAGCTTGATTCATATGGATTCATTTTACAACACCTTTATGGCCTTTTTGGATCTTTTAAGTTTTGGTTACCTGTACTTTCAGTGGAGTGACAGAAACTTCTCAGATTTAATTGAAAAAAAAAAAAAAACCCAAAAAACAAAATCTTATGGTTTTGGAATGACATGAAGATGAGAAAATAATGAGTTCAGGGCGTGTTAATGCAGGGAAATATTTGTTTTGTGTTGTATTTGTTAGATGTTTTTGTGTGTTTAATTGGGATCACTGTTGCATAAATTTACACTACAGGTGTCATCTACACAAATTACTGAACCTAATAATGGCACAAAGGCCTAGTATTTTTATCTATTTTTTAAGGAAGTTAACTATAGTTAACTATGAAGAATTGTAATGAGTAATGGATATTTACAATGGATGTGTTCTTATATTGTTATACTTGTCTCTGCATATTAAGCTGGGATATTAGAAAGTATTTTAGCATCAGAAAAAAATTGTGCACTTCAACTGCTATAACCCTCTTGAAACTCTGGGATCGTGGTGCAGAATGCTGCTAGCCTTGACTGTGCTGGACAGAGTTGTATCTGTGGATCAAAAGGGTTCTCCAGAAAGCTGTCGATAAGCACATCGATAGAGCTGCTTCTTCTTGTTGGGCGATATGTGAGTGTGCAGCCATCAGCATTTGTGATAAAGGTATGTCCAATAAAAGTCCTGGAGGCTCATACTCTGATTAGAAATGACCTTCCCAAGGACAAACACAACTTTTATAGCTAACTTACCAAAAACTCTTCCACACCATTCGCACATCTTAAGGTTTAATGCTATACTGGTGCAGAGAAGTCAAGTTCAGGCACAGATGTTATATGACTGGGTCTGGCCTTGAAGTCAGCGTTCCAATTCATCCCAAAAGTGTTTACCAGAGTTCAGGTAAGCAGGGTTAGGAGATGTTCAGAAGTCTATTAAGTGCCTTTTTAATTCCATTTCAATTACTGAATTTGAATCGATGTAGCAAAATGTATTCAGAATTGAAAATGTACATTAAAATTCAAAGAAATTCACACTATAGTTCAAATCTCTGAGGTCTGTAAGGTTTTTAAATGTTGTTGAAAGAAGTCTGTTATGCTCACAAAGGCTGCATTTTTAGTTCACAAATAGAGTAAATAAAGTAACAATAATATTGTAAAATATTACAATTTAAAATAACTATTCTCTTTTTTTATGTATTTAAAATCTAATTTATTCCTGTCATTTTCAGCAGTCATTACTCCAGTCTTAGGTTACTTTTATGGATAGAAAGTTGAAAAGAATCTTTTCTGTCAGTTTTCATCAATTTAAAGAATCCTTGCATAATAATTTTTTTTATATATATATATATATATATATATATAATTCTTACTGACCCTAAACCTATAGTTTACCTTTTATATTTACCTAGAAAAGCAAAGGTTGTCAAGACAAACCTTGAATGTTTTAAAAATACTTTTAAAAGCATTTATGTTGAAGGGACAGAAAGAGCAATAGACAGATGGAGAGAGAGAGACTGCACTACACTTGCTTTTGTAACCTTATTATAGTTATGGATATATTGTACTTGGAATAGTCAAACCATTATTTGCGGGGTGTCCAGATACTTTTAGCCATATAGGCTTCTGATGCAGTTAGGTAAATGAGAAAGGAGTAATGGAAGATGCTTCAATGCCCACTTAGACACGCATATTCTCACCGCTCACAAGAACATCTGAATTTAGTCGACTGTGAAACTCATCACTCGGACATTATTGACTGAAACTGCCTCCCTAATATAATGTGGTTTGTGCAAAGCTAATGATTATTTCTTTGAGCGTACTGATGCGCATCTGAGAAAATTTCATTTCACAATGTTACACCCGCACCAAGAAAATGATTTACATTATTAGATAAATATGCTAATCTAATCTCATCCGCTCCCTGTGGTTCTTCCATAACTTCATTTTCCCAGGAGGAATTGCATTGCAGTCAGGATGAGTTGAACTGGTCACAGAGTACGAGTGGAGCTAGCTCTTATTTTGTCTTCATAAAGAAATAAACACATGAATTTGTGCTCTGAGACCTCAGCTTTGCTCTTCAAATTAAGCTTGATGTTGACTGTGCATCTCTGCTTTGTTATTGTAGTTTATCCCACTGTCAGTCAGTTTACTATTATTCGCTGAGTTTGTTTGAGAGTGTCTCTAATCGTCAGGGAGTGCATCAGTCTGAACTCATCATCTTTTGAGTCTGTGCTGACCTCTGGCTCACACTGCCTGAGAGAACGTCTTGAGTTCATCTCTTTCTTACAGTTAAATTCATCTATCAGAGCAGTGTGGGTGTTATTCTGATACATCTTAGAATTATAGAACAATCGGAGCGAGGTCTTGAGATAATATTTGCTGGTGGCAGTTTTTTCTTGTTCTATTATAATTGTATTCGTTTTTAAATGTTAAATTCTTAACCTGAGGATTTATTCTGTCTGTGCTAAAACTCTTTGAAGATGCAGGTGATATTTTTTTACAAAGATTCTGCTTCTGAATTCATCCTCTTCACAGCTAGAGCCATCAAGCACCACTTCTGTAACAAATAATATTGTAAAATCATATTACAATTAAAAATAACCATTTTCTATTTTTCTATATTTTAAAATGTAATGTATTGTAATGTAACAGTGATAATTTTTTTCAGGATTCTTTGATGAATAGAAAGATCAAAAGAAGAGCCTTTATTAGAAATATACATTTTGTAACAATGTGATCAATTAAATGCATCCTTGCTACATGAAAATATAATTTTTTTTTAAATGCTCCAAATAGTTGTGTTTGATGCAGACAAATCATTGAATTTTTGTGTTATGAATCGATTCATTGTTTGAATTATTCACAAAAGTTCATTTTAGCGACTCTTTTTCCACTGAAGTTTAAATCAGAGACACTATTAAAACATGTCTTAATATTTTCATAAGGATGGATCACTAAACTAGCCTAATGATTGTCTGTAGGAAGTGTAATGAGCAGATTAGAGTGCATTAAAATAATCTTGATATTCCCAATGTGTTGTTTATTTTACACCGGTTTTGGTGCCTTTACCAAACCTCTGTGAGTATTTTGCTGTGTGAACAAGAGGAAGCCAGGGCTTTATGAAAAGCCCTGTGGGCACAGTAGTCTTCAGGGGTAGCGAGGAGATAAGACAGACTGTGTTTCCCATGAGGCTGTGCTATCTCTAACAGTCAGCCAAACAGTTAGAATGGGTCATTCAGTTTATTCAGACACATGCTGACAAAGCCAGAAACGCATGCTCACACAAAAACACTGTTCAAACAAACCCACTCTGTTACATACATTTCCCTAGTCACACACCAACAAGCCTTGCGGTGTTGGGTTAAGCTCTGGCCTTAAATAGGACTTTTTTTTTCCCTCTGACAGTCTCAGATCTAATATGGCTTCCACAGATGAGGACTAGGCCTCAATTTGCAGAGCCACACTGGCTGTATGCTGATGAAGAGATATCTCAAATGAGATTCACAGCTGTCTTTTTCCCATTTCTTCAGAGAAGGCCGTACAATAGTGGAATCCAGTGAAAGACATGGCATTCACTCTTATGATTATAGATAGAGTTCAAGCAACAATGGGCTGCAGACACAGATTCGAGGTGTCAGAGAAGGTCTTCATAAATCTTCTTTTATACACTGAAAATTACTCAAAAGACTGAAGAATGTGAGTGAGAGAAATCAGTCTGACTGCTATTGATTTGTAGTTGGGTTCCCAGACATTTAGAGATGTATAATTTATGGAGCTGTCTTGGGAATGCTGTGTGATCTGGGATGAAACTTGAAAATGTTTCAATGGGCTTCGGTTTTGGTTAACAATAAGGCTAGCGGAGATGTCTTACTGAATGCGTGTTTGTGTGATGGGGCTTGTCAAGAAAAAATAAACTCCATGTAGAAAGCATCATTTTATAGCAAGAAAAGAAGATGAAAATGTTACTAAACTAAATAGTTTTGCATATTTTTTATCTGTATTTATTTATGAAAACTCATTGTTCTCTTCATTGTACATCACATGACATTTATAGCATTTGTTTGTCTTCTAATCATTTTGTTTTTTGGAGTTAAGTGAATGGTCCAACAATTTTACAAAAAAAAAAAAAGATTAATAAATTCTTGTGTTATTATAATTGATTGTATTATTGTAAATGTTTACGTTTTTTCATATGGTTTATTTAAATATGGCATTGGTGGTACATTTTTTTTTTATATTTGTGTAAAAGTTTTACATTGATAATTACAAAAATGTTATCATTTATTTAGTCAGACTTATTTTTTGTTGTTTTATTGTTTTTAAAATTTGAAAGAAAGAAATTACTTTTTATTCAAGATGTGTTAAATTGATCAAATGTGACAAAAGACATTTACAGTATTACAAAAAATATATTTTAAATAAACGCTCAAATGTTTTCTAACTACAGCATTTTATAATATATTTGTATAGTTATTGTAGTTTTCTAATAACTTTCTATTCACCAAAAATGTATCACGGTTTCCACAAATATATTAATCAGCACATTTTCAACATTACTGATAAGAAATTTTTCTTGAGCACCAAATGATTCCTGAAGGGTCATGTGACTCTGAAGACTGGAGTAAAGGCTACAGAAAATTTAGCTTTAACATCACAAAAATACATTTCGTTATTTTAAACTATAATATTTCACAATATTAATGTTTTTACTGTATTTTTGATCAGTAGTTCTTTCCAAAAACATTAAAAAAGATTCTACACACCCCAAACCTTTTAATAGTATTGTATGTACAGATGATCATTTTGTATGAAAATTTGTCATTGTGTTGGGTATTTCAAAGGTTGGAACACTATATTGACCAATCAGCATCCCGGAATACGCCTTTTAGCATTAGTTGATATGTTATTTCTCAGACATCTCTCTGTGTTGCTTTCACTCATAGGTCGACTGACGTGTCCACCAGAGAAGTTTGACTGTGGCGACTTGACGAGCAAATGCGTGTCATTGTCATGGCGCTGCGATGGTGAACAGGACTGTGAAAATGGAGCAGATGAGGAGCAGTGTGCTGCAGGTGAGTCCAGGGAGGAAAGATAAAGAAAGAGGAAATCGCTAAAAATAGGTTCTGTCTGGATAATGCACAATTAGGCTTCAGTGAGGTGTGTGTGTGTGTGTGTGTGTGTGGGAGATGATCAGACACTGATGTGTGTGTGTGTGTGTGAGAGATGATCAGACACTGACATGAAACACATAGATGTTTGATGTTATTGTAGCTGATGGTCCTTTCATCATGTCTTCCTGATGCGCAGGGTAGATATTACAGAAATCTCTGGATCTTAAAAAAGTGGGTTGGTTTTTGTGTTCAGACCCCCAACAGTTAGTTCTTGCATTGATGGATTGTCACAGTGGGTGAGAACAAGAATGTGTGTTATGACTATAAATAAAATAGAAATTCTGCTTACACGCGCACTTTCTCGCACTCATTTCCTCTTGCTCTCAAACACACAATAGGCTGCCAGGTATTTCAATTTACTATTAGATTATAAACCAGTATTGATTTTACTTTGCTCTTTGACATGCAACCTATACAAGCATTGATTCTCCAACTACCTCTTTTATGGAAAGATTATGTATTATACATTTGGCCTTTTAAAGCCCTTCAGGATCTTTATCATTATAAAGGCTCATGGATAAAAGCAAACTCAGCATTTTAAATCCACGGCAGAGCAGCTGAGAATTTGCTGGTTTGTTTAATATGTCTAAATAGTTTCTGTACTGCAGACTCACTCTAAACAGATCACCTGTTGATTATTATTAATATAACAGTACTAGGTATATTGCTGTTTTGCCCCTTTTCCATGATTCATGTCTATATTGTATGTGTGTGGCAAGCAGAGAGATTTAGGTGTGTGTGTGTGTGTGTGTGTGTGTGTGTGTGTGAGTAATGGTCAAGTATTACAATACAATATATACTATTAGCAATTCCCCAAAATAAATATTTGCATACTCTCGGTCCAAGCGTTTTTATATGCTTTCCTACCTACCTGTCAACGTATGTATTAGCACACCTCTGAGCACCCGGTTCGGGTGCGCAGACAGGGTACGTCATCAGCGCGTTCAGGCACGCTGTGCAGACAGAGCGAGAATGGCAGACAAACATCAACAACCGATCTTCCTTACTGGTATTGTAGTACTTTTAAAGTTTTCTCACCGGTGAATGACACATGATGTAGCCCAGCGGTTAATCCAGTCCTCGTGCCAGCTCGTTAGAAGTGAGCTATGTGCATGAACTGTGTTCCAATCGATATGATCCCTACACAGTGTTCATTGCTCCCTGAGCAGGGGAAATCCGTTGAAGTTTACTTCACTTCGGAACATGGGCTGGAATTGGGAACCACTGATGTAGCCTATTGTAGTAATGTTGTCTCTGGTATTCTGGTCTGTGAGCGTATATGCGTTCAGGGGGTGTGGCTTTGGACGGCGATTGCAGGGAGGGTGGGACGTTCGCTTTCAGTGCTATCAGGCTAAAGTTAGCATTTTCCAAGATCATCTACTGCACCTTTAAATTGATCAAAACTTACAGTACATTTATAATGTTACAAAAAAATCAGTAAGTTTAATATTTAGACACAATCCCATAGTGGGACTGTCATTTTTCAGTAAATGATGAAGAAACTTTTTCTGAGTGAGACTTTTTAATGACCAATTTATTTATAAATGAATTCCAGGATTTTTAATAAAATTAAGTCATTTGAAATTTTTATATGAAAACATTTTATTATCAAGTCAGAACAAAATGAAGAAGTTTAAATTTGATGCTTTTAGTGTGAAACATTTAAGGGTGTTAAACACTGAAATAATATCAGTTTTTATAAATGCAATTAAATCAATCAATTAATTGCGTAGTTTCAATTTTCTTCATGAAATTCAGTGTTTTTTTATCTTGAAGATTTGTGCATCTAAAATTAGTTAGACATCAGAAGCTCTCTATAGGTTGGTGTTGCATTGTCAATTCAAATGCAAAAATTGTATGTGTGTTACTTTACATTTCAAAACCTAAATATATGAGATCATGCCCTAAAGGATGTAAAGAGATTATTGTTTCTGTGTTGACCATTATCTACAAAATACATATTTCACAATTGAATTGCCTTGTTGTGTTCATAATATGTAATTATCCTGCCTATTATCCAGCCTTGACACGTGTGCTTTTCATATCTCCAAACACAGCCGAGCGAAATCTCTTGTCCTTGTGTCACTACGGGCTTACGCTTTCTCTTATACTTAATCATGTAATAATGAAATACAGGACACGTCTTTCAACTCTACCTCGATCTTTTATGGTTTTTCATTTTCTGACTATTAGCACTTTGATTAGCACCGTGACAGCGCTTGTTTATCTCTGTCGATGTATAGCAGTGATTTGTGTGTCGCACAGTCCTGCGCTGAACTGGAAAATAAGAGCATTAACATCACTGTAATATTTCACCGTGCTGCTGATTATAATTGATTTCCTGCTTGATGTCTGGTCCTGAGACTTCTATTTTTTTATTATAGAATAACTTGCAGGACTGCTCCTTTTGATTTTATAATTGAAGATGTTAAGGCACGGTCTATGAATACATATTACTCTTAATGCTGTACAGCCCATAACTTTTGAAGAATCATGTTTCACAAAAAATTACATTTCAAATCCTTTTCAAATCAGTCACCTCTACATGAACCAGAAGCTCATCAGTCAGGTGTGACACAGAGGATAGAACAGGGAAGATTAGTACTTTTTGGATTTTGCTAATTTATTACAAAAAATGTTTAGCCAAAACCTTGGCGGTTTTGCATCTTTAAAATTATGTATTTGATTTTTTGTAAATACATATAACTACCATTTCTTTACCTCTACCGTTTTTATCACTACATTTGAAAACCTTAATATGTTTGTGGAAACCATGATGCATCTTTTTTTTTTCAGGATTCTTTGAATATAAAAGTCAGAACAACAGCATTTATTTTAAATAGAAATCTTTTGTAACTTTATGAATGTTTTTACTGTCACTCTTGATTAATTTAATGGATCTTTGCTAAATAAAAGTGTTAATTCTTGTAATAAAAAAACACTTACTTTTTAAGTGTAGTGTAAATAAATGTATAAATTGAATTTCAGTTGTTATAAATAAAATTATGGTTCTAAAACCTAAAATGACATAGTAATTTAATAATTTTTACTTACATTTTTACACTTTTACACAAACTTATTTTAAGGCATTAGTTTTTAATAATTAATAATTATCCTCAGTATAACAATGTGTAATGGTGACAATCAACACACATTATTATGTAATAAGACGTGTTTAAGATCACTGCACAACAACAACATAACAGTAAAAATAAAGTCAGCAAGCAGCAAAACATTAACAGCATAATTTATTCATGCTGCTTCATTGTTCTTCTTAGTACCTTGTAGGCCTGTCGCAATAATCAATATATCGACTTATCGCGCAATATATGTACATGACCTCAATAATTTTTGGTGACGCAATATATCGCCCATTATATTTACTTAAAGGGGTGGTTCACTGGGTTTTTTCTAGGCTTGATTGTGTTTATGGTGTGCAGTCTAACATGTGTTAATGCTTCGTTTAAAAAAAACGCATTATTTTTCACATAATTTACCTTTATTCCACACCGCTCTGTCCCTTCTCTGAGAAACGGGCTGATCTTTTCCTGTTTTTATGAAGCCCCGCCCTCAGAAATAGGCGATGGGCTCTGATTGGTTAGCTAGCCCAGTGTGTTGTGATTGGCTAAACCGCCTCTAGTGCACGTCTAACCCCTAGTTTTCTTCCTCCTCTCTAAAGCAGCGCAGCATGGCCTCACCCCATTTGCTGCCTTTTCCAGAGGGCGTGGTTTATCTGGGTTTGTGATGTCACAAACCCGGGAAGTAACTCGTTGTAGTCCCTACGAGCCATTTTTGTAGGCATTAAACTGCCAGAAATTTAAAAGACGATATCTACGTTTGCATTGAACTTTCAGCTTCATAACTTTGCAGATATTGTTTATGCTCAAACAAATTTTGTCATTTGGAAGTGTGTAGGCCTTCTTGCATTATTATGCTGTTACATTATGATTATATATTCAGTGGCATAAAATGGTCTTTAAAATGACAATAATATCGCTTATCGCAATTATTTCTGGGGCAATATATCGCACAACAAAAAGCTGTTATCGTGACAGGCCTAGTACCTTGTAGGCTGGATAAAAACTAATAGCCCTTTTACAGAGCATTATACATAATGCTAAAAACATAATACTGTTTTAGTGCTTTCATTTGCTGAATGGGGCAGCAGTGCACTTTTAGTGGGTTTATCAGACTCCACACATACAGCTAAAACCTGCTGCACCCACAAAGCCCTTTCCAGTGTACTAAAGGTTGGAAGATTTACATAAAACATATCTTGGGGAGTCACAGACATGAATAATATACCTCCTAACATCACATTCCCATTTTTGTAGAAGAAAGGCACTATTTGCCCTCAAACTCATCTATGTTCTTTTGCTCTCTACTCTCTCTCTCTCTCTCTCTCTCTCTCTCTCTCTCTCTC